AATCTCATTAGATGGAGCAACAAATGATTTTGTCTGCAAAGTTTTTAGAAAGAACAAGAACGCCAAACTGAAGAGGTACCATTCAAAAAAAAAATAAGTCGAATTGAAATCGCCTTCATTTTTCCATCACGCAGTGGCAAGTTTCCAAATCAAAAACGACAAACCAGCGAGACTACTGAACAACATGCTTCCCGCACAACAACCGGAAATTGTTTTATTGGATGACGATGAAGATGATGGAGATGATGATCAACGAACAACCCCGACCCAATCACTGCCATCTTCTCATCTCTTCACCCGATTCGTCCAATCATCAAGTACACAGCAAGTAGCAGCAGGCTCATCATCGGAAAGTACTTGCAATAGCAAGTCCGCAGCTATTAGAAGCGCTAGTAACCTTCTGATATCATCAGTGGACCCATCGTTTGATGCAGGCTATGATGAACCCGTCTCCCCCTATACACCCTCCAAGAGAAAGCTTGAAGAAATGCAGAGGTTTGATGAGTCCAGCGATGATGAGTTGTACGGAGAAGAAAGTATGCAACTTACATTTACAAAAGCAAGCAGCAGTAATTCTAGTACTAATGCTACTACAGGTTCCAACGAGGATTCTTCGTCATTCTATGTAACTGGTAGTAATGCATTTGGTATGCTTGGAATTGGAAACGCTGTTTCTGATAGTTCAAAGATTACATCCTTTACAAGAATGAACAACCCTGCCATTGTACCATCCAACATTAAAATCATGGCTTGTGGACATTATCATACTGTGGTTGTCACGAAAGACAATCAAATCTATGCATGTGGAAAGAATAATTATGGTCAGCTTGCAATGGTAAGTTATTCAACAATACTGAATCAAGCAGTGATGGAGCCGTATTTATTCAAAATCCATTAATTCCGTAAATATTTTGGCCGATTATTTTACTCTAATTTCTAAACCTGGACACATTCATACGTTGCCTTGTATAATTTGATTAATAATCCAACATTAAAATCATGGCTTGTGGATATTATTACTATGCCGTCCTACATTAGGGAAACCTAACAAAAGTATTTCCAATTTTCAAAATGGTAGAATCGAGCATGAATGGAATACCCAAAGAATTAATTCGAGATGTGAAATGTGGCCGATACCATACCATGTTCATTACAGATCAACCCAGTGACAATGTGTGGGTATGTGGAAAAAACAAATCTGGACAAATGTCGCTTCCATCAGCAAACATTTACCCTTCTCCCACTCGTCTTATTGCTCAATTTTCTGGAAAAGTTTTATTTGCTTCGTGTGGGTCAGAATTTACATTTATTAAAACCACTGACGGAGTGTATTCATGTGGAGACAATTCAAGAGGTCAGTGTGGCCTTGGAGTGGATACTCTCCAAGTCAAATCATTCAAACCACTCAAAACAAACTTTTCAAGACTTAATATTACACAGATAGAGTGTGGAGAATTTCATTCGCTCTTTTTAACTGCTTCAGGAGACCTATATGGCTCTGGTACGAGCGTGAATGGGCAGCTTGGCTTTGATCCACAACTACTAGGACGGCAAAGCGTGAATAGCCCTGTCAAAATCGATACTCCCCTCAACGAGACCATTAAGCAAATAAGATGTGGCTTCCATCACTCTGCTTTTTTGACTCTGAGTGGAAAAATTTATATTTGTGGTAGAAATGGTGACGGACAGTTGTCATGTGGAGAGCCAACACCAAGACTTTTTACTTTTACACACATTCCCATTTCGGCCTCTTCTCTCAGTCATCATTTTGTTCAGGAGCTTTATTGCTACTCGTATTATTCAATCGCCATCACAGACAAGATGGAAATGTTCTTGACAGGATCTAACAAGTGTGGTCAACTGGGGACTGGAGAAGGTCAGCGAGTTGACAAATTTACGCGTACGTTCAAACATCGTGTCAAGGCTGTTTATTGTGGCAGGGATACCTTAATGGTGGAGGCCGAAGATAGAGAGTACAATGAAGCTATTTACGATGACACTTTCGGAAAGATGTTAAACTTTGACGACTCGAATTTGGCTCCTCTTCTTGATTCATTCATTATTTGTAGCGATGGAAAGAAATTCCCCATTCTCTACGACTTTGTTTTAATACGTTTTCCACTCCTAGAAAAGTATTCAAAGGAGGTCACCGAAGAAGAATGCAGTTCAAGCTCTACAGAGCCTCCTACCAAAAAGCGAAAATCTGGAGGTCAAGATCAAACCATGAAAGTCATTGATTTATCACCTATTGCTACCCTTTCAAGCAATTCCATTCTAAAACTTTTAACATATATCTGTACAGATGTGGTAGACGACAGAGATCCAACCTCAATACAGGAAGACCTCAAAATTATACAGTGGATTACAGAAAATAGTGGTCTAGACTTTTCTTCATCCTCTCAGGACGCCTCAAACACCACTCGATTTATCAAATTAATTTTACAAAAGATTCTTTCCTCCATCACCAATACCACAGTGGTCAACGTGTTGGAGACTCTCCAGGTTCTCAAAAAACATCCATTAATCATCAACTTGTATAGACACTGTATTGCATTAATCCGAAAAATCGAGAAGACCTATACTATTAACGAAATTGCTAACTTTAGCCAGCTCTCCAAGGAAGCCTTAATAGAGACTCTGGCATTTGGAGAGAATTATCACTGTCTTGGTTCGAGCGATATTTCAGTTCCACCCTCATCATTTTCTACAAATTTAGAGCAATTATTTAACAAGGCTCAACAATCAAAAGGAACCATGGGAGATGTTACTCTATTACTCAACAAGGAAGGTACCAGAGTATTGTATGCTCACAAGGCTATCCTTGCTGTGAAATGCGACTTTTTCAAGCTTAAATTCACATCTGGAATGGGAGATATGGACTCTCGACGCGTTGAAATTTATGAATGTAAGTACCATGAAAATGCATGCCTTCAATGTTTATCACAACGCATCCACTTTTGATCTTTATGCAATGATGACAATTTGTTTATTTGGCTTAGATGCTGATGAAAATGAGATTCGTGCCCAAGAGGAATTTATTCGATATCTGTACACGGACAAAGTTGAGCTTTCCAAGAACAATGCTATTAGCTTCTTGACTCGATGGAATTTCTATTCAATGGATATCAACAATCCCATTAGTGTGAAATGTCAAGAAATTATTGTGGATGGACTGAACGAGCAAAATGTGTTAGAATTCCAAAAATCATTCTTCCTCGACCGTTCCTCTCCATATCATTTTCTCAGGAAGGCATGCGTTCAATCCTTAATCAAATATTGGCCATCTATCAATGAGAAATATTCCAAACAGCAAATCATGGAATACATGTCCTATGACAGATATATCAAAGTCACACAGGCCTACTTGAAATTCTTCACAAAGCGTGCGAATCAACTTCAACAACAACTGCAGACGCTCCAACAACAAACCGCTCCAACAGTGTTACAGAATTAACAATAGATATTGTCCACATAAACAACATGATGATTGGTTGGTTCGACAACCATATTCTGTTCTGCAGCAATTTAATATTTCAAATTTTGCAAAAACATTTTGAAATTGCATTCAAAAAAAAATGAACAATCTCTCACTACGAGAGTTGCCTCTTGAGATCCTTGCGTTTCATATCTTTCAATTTTTGGATGACCTGTGGTTATTTGCAAATGTGAGGAAGGTGTGTCATGACTGGAATGATATCATTATAGGGAAACAATTAAATATTATTTCTACAACAGAACACCATTCCGATACTGTTGTTGTTGAACCTCATTTGGGATTTATTAAAAAACTAGATGGTGTGGATTTGAAACAACGATCATCTCGATTTCTAGCCTTCTACAAGTGTTGCCAACAAGGATATTTCAAAAATATTCGTGAATTGTGTATGGGCGGTTTGAATGATGAGCATCTCAAAGATGACAAGTCCGATTTCTTTTGTTTTTTTCCCGAATTAACAATATTGGATTTATCATGCAAACCTACATTATTTAATAATCATGTTAGTACATATGGGAGAGAGGCATTGTTGAAAGCTCAGTTAAAACATCTGACCTACTTGAATTTAAATCATTGTTATCTGAGTTGGGACACGGCTGCAAGAATATTTCAAGTATTAGGTCACACTTTGAAATATTTACATTTGCGTCAAACACAGTTATCGTCACGAAACTATACACCTCTAATGAAAAAACCATTATTAGAGCACGTGCAAGAATTGGATGTGAGCGGAAACAAAATGAATTATGAATTGTTATTTTCAGCGGTGGGTCAGTCATTGACAAGTTTGGACCTCTCCTCCAATTCCAATATCAATCATGCGATTGAAATAATTGCAAACAGTAATCCTGAAAAGTGGACCAATTTGAGAATTTTGAAATTACAAAATGTACATTTCAATTATGAGACTTTGGCATTGTTGAAAAAAACAACAAATCTAATGAACTTGACACGATTAGATCTCAGAGGAAATTTCACAAGTCAACGTGAAGCAAAAGAATTGTGTGGAGTTCAATCTTCACTTGTAAATCTTGTTGAGATTGAGCATGATTGTGGTGTGTTCCAACTTGGACAGTAAAATTTATTTTTGAAATTAATTCACAAGAACAAAGTCAATCTAATAAATTGCATTGCACTTTACAAGATACATTTCACAAGCAACAAGGCCAACCCCAAAAGGATGAGGCTTGCCACAACCACTCGAGACCGATGATTTGAAAAAGGCGCTCCATTCTCCATTCCGTCATGATCATTTTCATCCACTCCACTGGTTTCATCAAAATCACAATAATTGTTTTGGCTTGCCAATACTTGTCGTTTCAACTCATTTCCCTCATGCTCATGATCACATCGAACAATTCTCATTTTCAATCCAAAATGATCCGAAGCAAACAAGTAATCATACCCAGAGTCTACCTTCATTAAGGTGGAAGTGGTTAAACAGAACCTAATTATCTTCCACCATAACGGTACTTTCCACTTTGTCTGGTGATGTTGAATATTGTTGTAATTATGATTCAATAAAGCTTTTGGTTGAACATTCCTTTCCGTATTATTAAGTAACAACTCCCGTAACGGACGATTAGCAAATATTTTGACCTTGCAAGCCGGTACACACAAACTTGATCTGTGTATTAAAATACGATCCAATCTCATTCTTCGAATTTCCATTCCATAAAACATCCATCGTACCAAATCATTCACACTCGAATCAAATGTGTAACCTTTCGAAGTACGTGTTTCACTCCAAGCATCAATAAAATTCATGTCAGAAATGACAACATCTTCCTTTTCATCATGTAAATTTAAATCGCCCATTAAAATAACATCCAATTTAGAGCTATTCTTGGAATCATGATTGGAAACTTGGTCATCATTGTGAATAGCTCTTTGTAGCAATGGATGAGAAGCAATGGCCAATAATTCATGTCGTCGTTTTTGTGCAAATTCTGTCGTGGCAGTTGTGTGCACTCCAATCACACACAATTGTGAAGTTGGAGACAGATTGATACTTGAAGTACTATTGGATGGATGCGTTTTGGGAGCATGTGAAAAGAAGGCATAAATGACGGGACGACTTTCATGGATTTTCAATTCCATATACATGTAATCAGGAGCATATTTCGAGAGAATTAAATTTCCCATCTTTCTTCCCAATGATTCATTCAAAGTATCACTCGTTTTCAACTTGTTCTGAAATTGTTGATCATTTTCAACTTGAAAAATATCACTAAAATAGTAATTAGTTTTGAAAAATTCATCTTGTTGCAACACTTTCAAAAAATCTCCAGTCACTTCATTCAACACCAAAATATCAAAATTTTCTTGTTTCAATAATTGAACAGTGTGTGCGAAACGTTGTCTCGACCGAATGATAGGTTTGATAAAAAACGGTACTAAATTAAACATGACGTTAAACGTTCCAATTTTTAAACCCAAAGAATGATCTTCTTGAGAAGAAGAAGAACCCACATGATCCTGATGATGATGAAATAGATACTGTTCCGATGGAATGATTTTTGAAAGTATGGATATCCATTCTTCCGATTCGGAATTGTTATTCTTCTCTTCATATTGTAACGCTTCCCAACGATTTTCATAAACTTTCCATTCCTTCCGATTAGAAGTAGTAACGAATTTGGCAATTTTCAATGGATGACACGTCTGGGGGAGAAAACTCTGTGAGTGAGATTGAGTCATTTTTTTGTTTGTAAAAGTTGAATCTTTTGAAACTAATGCTCCCTTACTTGTGTTTTAAAAATTTATAATCAGCTCTTGAACATCATTCATGCAGAAGATCATGAAATATGTGTACTCCCCCCAAGAAGTGAGTCAAGCATTAATGCGCGTTGTTTTGGTACATGAGACACAGTATAAAAGGAGACGTTAATGAGATGGAATCAAAAAAAAACAAATTGCTGAATTATCAACAGAGCCTTTCTGGAACTGGCAGCCAGTCTAGAGTTTTCAACTTGTTCCGTATGAGTTTCTAGACTCGAGCTCTTTTGAAATGTTTCTTAAGGGTTAGCTTGTATGTTCAGCACTTCATGGTGTTTCGAAGTTGTTAAAACCAAGGAATTCCATCTTTTGAAGCGTGGCCTTAATATTTTCCAATGATGGCCTTTCTTCAGTTGTTCCCAACATGTATTTCAATAATTCAACGAGCTTGACACAATCTGGATCAAGCAGGTGGTTGAGTTCGATTAAAAAATCTATCATTTCAATTCGATATTGTTCACATGACTCTAAATGTTCTTTCACTTTTGATTTAAATGATTTTCCATATGTAATGTGGTATAAATAATTCACAATGACCACAGCCATTGAATAAATATCAACTTCTTTCATTTCAAAACTGGGATCAGAATATGGATATTTATAAACATAATCCACAGATTGATCGAGAATAACTTCTCGATACATATTTTCAGAGGATTGAATGGAATTAACGTCACGTTCTCTCAATAACAATGAGGAGTTGAAATCGATAACAACAAGGATGAAACAGGCCATCTTTTCCTCTTTGTTGACAGCTCGTTTCCATCCATCTTGATCAAATCGAATCATTAAATTTCCAAGAGAAATATCTGTATTCAAAGCATCCAACTGAAACAAAATGTCGAAACATTGCTTCACGAGATTCATAAAAAACAATTTGGAATTTTTTCCAACCCATTCCCGAATAGAATTCTTATTCATCACATCATCCAACGACATTAACTGTTCTTGAATTGTAATGCTAATAGGTTGAGTGGACCGTACAAGTTTCTTCAGTTCGTACTCTCCACTATTGTGCTGTTTCATTAAATTATAAACTACCCTTACCAATTTTTCATTGGATTGAATTTGTTGAAAATCATAAATTCTGACCACATTTGGGAAGGTATAAATCGACTTGGAAATTTGGAGATGGACCATCTTCTTCATGACTTTCTCATTTTCTTCTCTGAATGCAGTTATTTTGACGAATACAGAGGTGTTATGAAACCTTGACAATGCATGACCATAAAAGCCCACACACGACCGTTCACACCTCATTGACTCCGGACTGAATTTAAAGTTGGACAAGGACAGTATTTGCTCCAATTCCACTGCACACGCTGCTTCGTTCATTGGATTTTCAGCGAATTTGTTGAAAACGTCAAGAGACGAGGCTGATTGGTTTTGAGGCTGGAAATTATTGTTGGACCCTTCTTTTTTGAGTTCTCTTCGACTCTTGGGGTCGTCACTGCGATGGTCATTCAGGACTTTTCTCAACAAACGTTCTTGATTTGATTTCACGGAGAGTGGGCAAGCATACGCTTTAAAAAAAAAGTTTTCATCACCCCAATAAAACACCCCAACAAAGCAAGATGGTTCTCTCAGTGACTTGATCCAAACAAATGGATCACCTTTCTTGAAAGCAAACACAGAGATGCAATCATTGGGTACAGATGTGTGTTGTACCTCAACATTTACCTTAAAGAGAGGAGAGAGGGTCTCTACAAGGCTTGTCACTCCTTCATCTATGGAATCAAATACATCTTCAATTGGATTGTAGACAGGACGATTTCTTCCAAATCCCATGTTCATGCTTTTTAACGTGCCTTCAAGTGAAAGAGGCTTGGATCGGATTGGTAATGTACTAGATGAAGAAACCTTCTCTCCTTTAACTTCTTTTGCTAGTTGTTGTTTGCATTCATATACATGCTCACACATGATCTCAATAAAAGTTGTAAACGTAGCAATACCGTCCATTGTTGTTAACTCAAAATGGTCTTTATGTTTCAAATTCTCTGCTCTCTGTCCTTCACATTTCAAAAACACCAATGAAGATGCTCCCATCGCATTCTCTAATTGAGCAAAAGAGACAGAACACAACTTTGTTTCTAACTTTGTTCCTTCCACCTTTGAACGCTCAACAGGTTGAACCACTTCTTGTCTTTAACAAAGGAGTTCCAAAAGTGTAAATAAAAGTATTATTACTTACGTTCGGAAAATAATGTTTTTTCTAAATTTAAATTGATAGTCCAACAAATGATTGACCATTCGCATGAATGTAGATTCCCATGCATTGGGAGGTAGAGATTTCTGGGATATCAAAAATAAATCATATGGTGTGTGGATTCTATGACGTTTCAAGCTATTGAGACTCGTAGTTATCGAAGCAACAGCTTCATCCTCGCTTTGACAAAGTATCTTATTGATCTCAAAAACAACGGACTGGTAGGACCACCAGGCACAGTCAAGCTCTTCGTTAGATATCATGCTGTGCTGTTCTCGTAACCCAGTGGCAATTTGTTCGTGCATCTGTTCATTGGTGATGATGAAAGGATCCCTCTATTCGATTCAACCATCATCATGTCATTGGAAGAATTAAGAATTGAGAAAAATAAACTCACCTCAATAGTGATTAGGCTCTCAAAAATACCTTGTTGTTCTTCCGTTGCAAAGATGAATGCTGTTTCATTGTGTTGGGATATACTTGGTTGAAGCTTTAAAAATTCGGGACTTTCCATTGAAACAAATTTCTTCATCTTCTTTGTTTGGGGTTCCATGAATGGAGAGGAAGGTGGTAATTGTTCATCCGTATCATCCATATCGTGATCATGTCGTTCTTGGTTTCTTAATATTAAACTGTTTTCTAAGGCAAATCAGTATTGATGGTGCTAACGACATAAAAATACCTCCTACTTAAATGCTTGGATACTGGTTCTTCGTCATGGTTGTGACCAGTCCGCTCAATGCTGAAAATGATTTCGGTTCGGTTTGATTTAGGGTGGGCGAGTCAGGTTTAAACAGGTGTGACTTGGTGAAATTGTGCGCAATCTCATAAAATAAAGAATATTTTGAATGGAGGGCTGTTGAAAAAAACTGCAAACTGTCAAAAAATTTTGGAAAAAGCTTGAGTCCACATCCCCATTTAGCAAATAAACAACTTTGCTCTTAGTGAAAAAAACAAAAATGACTGCCACAAGCCGTTGCTATTTGAGCAATCACGAGGTTCTTCGTGAGTATTTTGCACCTGTTCATCATGATGATCCACCGCCACCACTTGTGGAGGATGATTTTTATGACGAGGATGATGATCCAATGCCACTCCTTGAGGATGATTGTGATTCTTCTGAGAGCGATACATATTGGGATGATGAAAGTGTTGGTGACATTACAGCCATTGTCAATGACTCTTATGAGGAGGTCGATGATCTACCATCACTACCACTTGTGGAAGAAGAGTTGAATTTGTACGATGATCTACCACCTCTAGTGGATGATGACAATGTTGATTTGGCTGGTGACATGATTGTTCTGTCCTCACATTGTAGTGAATCTTGGAGACTTTTTCATAGAGTCTGATTAGTGTCGATAAATTGAAACTTGTTATTTCCAACAAGTATTATTTGAAAATGTCAATACCACCATTATGACTGACTAATAATTCTCCAGTGATTTCGTTAATATTCATTCCAAACGTTCGTTTTCTCAATGAGTGCGATTTTATCATATTTCCATCCATTGTGGTAATTTCTATGGTTCCATAACTGTTCATCGTCATGATATTCTTTGATACAGAATCAACCATCAACATGGTCGTTTTGAGATCACGAGTTAATGTTGTTAATCTATTCCATGTATTTCCATCGTTATGGAATTGATAAATATTTACTGAATAAGAACCATCTGCAACAATCCACATGCAAGTACTATCATCAAATATCATCCATTGCGGCGAGACTTCCATTTGGAATTGTCTCATGCAATCTCCTGATGTCAAATTCAACACTTGAACAGTATTTCCACCAAAGACATAACATTGATGTTGTGATCTTACAAGTGAAATACCTATAATGGAGAAACCAACTTGCTTTTCCCAAATACAATATTCAGATGAATTCTCAAATTGACGTTCTTCCTTCTTCTCCAAAAGTAATTTCGATAAATCGCACTTGAACAAACTCGAGTTCGGCCAACACACCAACCATGCATCACCGCCCAACTCATCATTCTCTTCAATTTTAAAACAAAGAGCATCCAGAGTTGGAAATTTAATCATTGTTTTAAATTCTCTCGTATTTAAATCAAAGACTTGAATGGCACTGTTCCGTAATATAAAACCACGTAGACCCTCGGTCCGATCCAAAAGGCTTACCAAAATACACTCATGATGGTATGATATTTCTACTTGATCAGCCCGATAGTAAATACCATGAGAGGTTGAGAGTGGTATCTTTTGAATGTACTGGAAATTCATTGAAAAGGCTGTCTTGCTCCGATGAATGGCTTTCATCATCCGAGCTTTCAATTTTTGAAATAATTCATTCAACGGATGATAGCACCTACTATCATCGTGAACGTTTATATTCACATCTTTGAAAGTTAAAGTATCGTGTAATATTAATTGAACAACAGGGGAATCTTTGAATTCACACATTTTTTCTGTCAGATCTTCTTGAAGTAACCTAGGAGCAGAAGGAAGCAGGTATACCGCATGAGTAATCAGAAAATAAGTGCGGTCAAAAATAAGACGTTTATCTACCATCGAAAAATACCGTCGATTAAAATACTGCTGGACGAATACGGATGGAGAATATCCCTGGTTAAAATACTGATGGATATTAACCATGGCATCAAGGACGACATAATACAACAGGGCAATTACATGTGCATAATACTGGTCATCAAAATACCGTCGGAAAAGTAAATGAGGAAAATACTGACCGACGAATATATGACATATTTTACTGCTCGACCAATACTGTCGGATGAAATACCACTGGCAAGATATGGACGGAGAATAATATTGACAAAATAATGATTGAAATTAATTATGATAACAACGACGGACAATACCTTCGGATTGGTTCGGATGAAAGTACCACGAATTATTTTCATCGATACTTTGTTGAATAAGACTTGTTGATTTTTGAAATATTTAGAAAATTAATATTTATTTACAAAAATTATAACAAAATGCAAATTGATTCAATTGCCACTTTAACCCAGATGGCAATGAATAGCAAATACAGCTACATTTAGACTTGACTTTGCTGATATCTATTGCTGATAGCATTAGTTGTGGAATGCATTTGAGGTGATACATATAGGAAACGTTATCCATGTGTTTCACTTCAAAGATCAAGGAACTAAGAACTACCTTATCAGTTACTTGTTTAACGAACGCAATGTTCATTTCTCCTTGATCCGTTTCAAATAGGACAAAAATGTCTTTTTCAAGCTTGAATTCTGGTTCTTTTGCTCTTGGTATCAATTTTCTGCATTGAGGATATTTTGTAAAAAGAGCTTTCATGACCATTTCTCGTTCAGAAGCCCTTTTTTCAAGCTGTTTTTTGTTACTTTTGTCATTGAATTGCTTGTACGTGGAATGTTTTAACTCATAGAGGAGAGTCCAAAACCAAGTAACATGACCAATATCATCGACATCCTCAAATATATGACAGCCTGCATGAAAGTTTGGAAATTTACACTTTTCGGATCCAAAACAGTTTCTATATGCAACTCGCCACGCTACATAGAGTTTCTCGGCTTCTTTTAAGTCGTGGTCTGTATGGTCAAACCGCAACAATCGAACAAAATACTGCAAATGTAAAATCCAACACTCATATAGTTTTTGTCTCTTCTCCAAAGTATTATCTGAATATTTGGTATTTAGGAATAGAAATTTGTACCAAATTGGAGCGCTTATTGCTATAAATTCAAGCATCTCTGTTCCGGATAGTTTGTCAATATCACTGTACATTGTAATCCTTTTGCCATTCGGCAACCTTTCTCTCTCACAAACATCCAAAAAATCGTCCATGATTGTTGAGTAATGAATTGCTTTCATTGTTCTTTTAAATTGGGTTCGAAAAGTTCCTTGGATCTCTAAATGGAAAAAATCAATTAAGGCTTTGTGAAATGCATCCACAGTATTAGGATATTTTAAAAAAGGATTATCTATGATATGCAGAACAGGTAATTCTCGTAATTTTTGCGTTATTTTCGCTTTAGATAATTTCAAATCTTTGAATTGCATTTCTTCCCATATTAAGGGTTTAAAACCCTTGTCCTTTGTTCTGTCATTTGATCTTAAATCGATGCTATTAATAACAGTGTTTGCTTCAAATATATTTCTTTTCTCGAAATGCGTGACATACTTTGGATCTTCTATCGTAGACGCTCCAAATAAACAATCTGGTGTTTTATGTTGATTATCATAAATTCCTTCACAACGGCTACATTCTTCTTTCATGAGTTGCAAGGAATACATCTTCTCGACTGTGTCCCATAAAAACCCTGCAACAACAATCTGAAATTTTCTAGACTCACCTGTAGAGGGATCTTCTATTTCAATTATCTCCCCATCAAGGTGATTAATTTCTTTCATCAAATGGCTTGTCATTGTCCAAAAATCGCAGTGAGTTTTTGAGAACCCAAGTAAGCTTATAGATTCAAGTTTTCTCATGAAGTCGCTATTGAAATTCAACAAACTTGAGTACACTCCACATGTTGATGTTGACTTTGTTCTGAATTTTACAAAATCGTCCACATATATCAGCATCACAAGAGGGAATATATCACTTTGACACTTCTCCAAAATTTTGTTGAATATTTTAGATTGAAATGGTTGCTTGGTTGCAAACTGTTGTTGATGCTTTTCTCGGTTGAGACATAATTGGTTGACCAAATACGGATCCATTAACATGTTTCGAATAGTATCTTGTACAGAGTAAAGGATGAAATTATCATTGAACTGCATGGGTTTTTGGGGATTCAAATTATTTCCTCTTGCTTTCAAGGTATCATAGCTCACAAATAATTTCATCAACTCAGGACGGTCTTTAAATGTTGATTTCAGCATTTGAATCATGAAATTATATGCTTGTTTAGAAATTCCAAAGTGATTGATTAACATAAAACAACATAATTCTTCAAAACTTTCAAAAGGGTGATCTTTAGGGAAGTGAAATTCTTGTTCATGCTCGCACGAGTGATTTGATACATATGGCATAGATTGTTTCAGTTTCTCAAAAAATTCAAATATTGGAAATGGTGTTTGTACTAAATTCTGCACGTCAGCAGTGAGAGCTTCTAAGTTCATCAATAAACCACCAATATCACAACCTTCCTCCATAACAACCACTCCTGTCGTTTTCTTGTTGTTTTTTTCGTCATCCATTTTATCCTCATGTTTGCGTTTTTTTAAAAACGAACACAAATGACCACAATGATTTTTGATGATATGAGAATAATAATGATCAAACTCTGTCGTTTGTTCGGAACAACACTTGAAAACGGGGTTCTGAGCTTCATCTTTGTTTGAACATCTTTTCATGTGTTTTAAAAAATTGGATGCATGAGAGTCGGAGAAGCAATCTTTGCAAAAAGGACAAGTGAAGTAAGTTGTGCCGCATGAAAAACAAGTGCATTTGATAGAGGGATTCAAGGTTTTACACTTTGCCGAATTATGGATATACAATTCCAAATCATGTACATTGCACTTGTGGCACATTCTCAAGGAAACCATGTCAAAGAATTTGGATTCGGCCTTGTTCTGAAGCATGATATTTTTTTTTGTAAAGAAAACGCTTCCTGTGCGCGCTCGATCTGAACTCGCTTACAAAAACTTCTCTCCAATAGTTTCAAAGTTGACCCGTTTAAATATTTTCAAAAATCAAAACAAAAAAAAACCAATCATAATGCCAACTGACACTGTAAGGGGTATCAAGAAGAAACGTAATCGAAAAAACATTTCTTATATAGCTCCATCATTAAATATAACACTTTTTCAAGAAAGCAAGCAATTCTTAACTCAGAACAACGCAAGGTTTGTTTCTTGTCAATATTTCTTGGTGATCATTTCTTTCCATGAAGCATCAAACAATGTTGTAAATTGAAATTTCATTCATTTCTCTCCCAAGTAAGTTGTAATGTTGTTCCTATAAATTTTAATTCTTCAGATCTGTTCTAATCCCCAAACACAAGAGCAAAAGCTTCAACTTTCAGACACAGTGGTTACTCATGTTAAAACATTTTGTTCAAGTCTTCCAAACTATAGTATTCTTTCAGATTGTGATAAATCCCAGGTAGATGAAATAGTAAGTTGTGTTTGTTATTTGTTTGACTAAATTTCACAACAATCGTTTTTAGTTGATAAAGATATGCAGGAAACATATAAGTCAAATATTTGTGAACGCAAAAAAGAAGGCGAAACTTCGTAGAAGATCTGGAGTCTCAAAAAGCAAAAATTCAGACAACCTTTTTGACTTTGAAAACGACGAAGATGTGTATGACATCAATTCTGAGGAATATAAATTGTATCAAGAGCATTTACGTAAATCATCATCAGCGAAAATGAGACGCTCAAGACCTGTCAACCCTGCCAACGTTGTTGAGTTGTAAATTATGATGCCAATAAAATTTAAAATGCATTTGCAATAACAATTTTAAATCAAATATTGAACCAAAAAAATTTCAAATTGAATTAAAATAAAATAAGAAGATTTCTATCATTATCGTCGATAGTAACAGCCACAGGTGTTGTGGTAGGTTATTTCAACAGTATTTCCGTCGTTATTTCGTTCATTAAACCTCCATTATTAGAATATTTAACATGATGCTTCTTCCGGCTGTATTTTGTGTCTTGGTGGATTCTTTTCGTCAGTAACTCCCGACAGTATTTTTTATCTCGAGTTTTACCGTCGGCTGTACCTGCGGAAACAAGCTTGAATCACCTTCGAAATAACAGACCGCAATAAGGAGACACTACTTATGCACAATATGCATTCAATAAGCTTCATTTACTACCGACGATAACTATGTAAAATACAGACGCGATTCTCTGCTCCTAGGAAAATAGAATCTCCAGTAAAGGACAATTAAGGGAACTTTTTAAAGAGCAACAGTCAACATTATGAATGTGAATATCAACAAGACAAGGGACACAACGAAATTTCGAGGTGTTGATCCTCGCCAAGGAGTGTCGTGAAGAGAATGTCCAGACGAAGCCAAGGCTCGACTCTGTCTATGGTATACTGCCACTTGATTTTGAGGTTGTTTACTTAAAATGTTGACTTGGTCACATTACAGATTCAAGCAAAGATTGCTTCACAAAGCTAGAGAGCATCCGTGGACACACATTTATATTGTCAACGAAGCGTATACATCCAAAACTTGCTCATGTTGTGGACATATTTATACGGTTGAATCATCCGAAGTGTTTCATTGTCCATTATGTGGCTCAATTTTTGACAAAGATATCAATGGAGTAAGAAATATTCTTCTTCGATTCCTTACTACTCAAAGAATTAGTTTTTGAGCACCTTGTGTGTTGGGTCTTCCCCACCTTGTGTGCGCTGGGTCCTTTCCCCTGGCTTTCACTCTTTGAGTGTTTGCTTGCAAGATCAGCACTTTGTTCGATTTGTTTGTTTTGTTCAAATTGTTGATTTAAATAAAGGCGTCTGTTGACTTAAACCAATTACTTGCTCAACCAATCAAAAAAAATGTTTCTACAACGATCTGGCCGATTCAATCAATTTTCTCGCTTCTCTCTTTGCAACGACATTATCGGGATTGCAAGCAAGAAACACAATGCAGCGTGCTTGCAAGCAATTCTTTTACCTTTGAATTTTGAAGCGAGAAAACCTGTTCTGGTTGGAATGAATCATGATTTATCAAATAATTATTTAAATCATCAAGAAGGTTCATCATCAATATTCAGAAATTTCCATTATTCATCTCGGGTGTTGAATCAATCTTCATCTCAAGGCGAAGACCAAATCATTCTCACGGAACAAGAAAAACCAATCTATGAATTATTTATGATTGTCCAAAAATCAGTTCCGCTTGCCTATAGAATTTATGATAACGTCAACGCCTTTACTACTCTCCTTGCCCAAATTGATACATTGATTGTCATGCTGAAAGACTTGTCTAAAAAACAAGACACTTTTCTTGGAGACCCAATCACTGAAATTATTGAAGCAGCCAAAGAATTGAATCTGTCAATTTTGTGCCGACGAGCAAGCTCTGCCATGGTATTGTGGAGAAAAGCGGAAACCCCAAAAGAAAAGGAGCAATATTCTGAAATTATGGAACGAGATTATGCCAAAGCTCTTGAATCTGGATCTGAGAGTGATGAAGTGAATTTTGCATATGCAACGTATTTGAAAATTGTAAAATCAGATTTGAGAATGGCCTTACATCACCTTACAAAATCTATTGATTTAAACAATGCAGTACCTGTTAAATTTTTAAAACGAGCGGAATTGAATTTGGAATTATTTGATGAAATGAAAGATAATGAAACTGCCATGAATATTGAACAGGAGCGTCCAGAACCTTCTGACATGTCAACCTCTGAAAGATCCAACAATTCGCAACCACTTGATAACACACTCTCTGTGAAAATTAATTCAGAGTGGAGCGACGACGCTCTCGAAATTCTCAATAATTGTCTCATGGACTGTGAAAGATATATCGAAGACTCGATTCAATACGCCAAGAAGAATAACATGACCAATTTCATACTGGACTATTACGTTTATTACGTGAGAGGAAGAGTTTTTTCAGAGACATTCAAGTCCGAAATGAATCAAATATCCAGCAATTCAGTTTTTCTCAACAATGCCGAGAGAGATTTTACACTATTTGTTGAACATTTTGAAAAACCAGAAAATGAGTCATTAATTGCACGAGATATTCTTGCAGAGGGCTATGTACGACGTGCTTTGTGTAGAATGCATTCCAAGAATTTGAATGGAGCTGATGCTGATGTTGAAAGAGCAAATGCACTTCTGGACTCAACTCCTGATCGTGACATGCACTCGGACATGCGTAATTACATTGAAGAGTTGAAATTACAAATCCAAACACTTCAACAGTTTCAATCCGTGTATGACCAAGCGACAGAACTTGGTGCCAAAGCAGCTGAATGTCAATCCACTGGTGACTCGACCCAAGCTCTCGAGTATTTGAATGAAGCCATTGCCATTAGTGAGGATACTCCAATTCCAACACTCTACGTTCAACGATCCATGGTGTATTACGACATGTTTTTGAAGAGATGCAAAGAAGGTATTCCACACAACGATCCAATTTCAACACAATATATTGAGAAAGTGGCACATGATTGCAATAGAGCCATCGAAATTGATCCCTCTTCTAAAACTACCGAAGCACGAGTGGTGTTAGCAGAGTACTATAAAAATGTGACAGGAGAGAAGGATAAGGCAGTGGAGCAGTATGAAATTGTTTTAAAGAACTATTTGCAAGAAAATGATCAAGAAATGATCAAAACTATTGAGCAAGCATTGGATGATATTAAGAAGTTGAACAAGTAAAATTACAACATGAATGAAAATTCAAGTGAACGAGCTAACAATGTCACAAAACTTCAAAGAACAATATATTCGAAAAACAACAAAAATGATGAATAGAGTACTCTATTTGGTTTTGTTGCTCATTAAATGTGAGTACATGTGTATCAAATGTGCTTGAATGGCACACCCCACTGCAATGCTGTCTTCAACAGCCGAGTCATGCACTTGGGCTTGAGAAAACAGTGTTTGAATACTGTCCCTTAACTTTGGTATCTGGCAAGAACCTCCAACAAGAACCACGTCGGAAATTGATGCAACTGAAAATCCTTGCTCTGTCAACGAGTCTACTGTTTGTCTTGCATGCTCAATAATGCTTCCAAAAATTGACATGACCGAACTTTCAAATCGTGCACGAGTGACCTTGAATTGGAAATCTAAACCATCGTACAATGAATCAATTTCAACCATGGCTTGTTGATTGTTGGATAGCACAATCTTGGCATTTTCACATGATCTTCTTAATTTGTTTTGGACTTTTCTATTTTTTCCAACTTCTTGTTGGAACATGGGTTCAGACATATTCTTGTAATAGAGCTTCTTAAATTCTTGTAGACACATTTGAATCATAACTTGGTCGATAGATTCTCCTCCCAGTGGTCGTTTCGATTCACTCTTTATCATTTCAAACAGACCATTTTCTGTAACTTTCACTACTGAAATATTTGTTTCCAAAGCACCCACATCAATCACACAAACATTTCGAGCAACGCCATTTTCTTGTGGCTTGGGTAAATCAAACCCATAACCAATTAAGGCAGCAATAGGTTCTTTGAGAATTGTTAAAACTTTTAAATCCAACTTTTCACATGCTTTCCGAATGACCGATTCACAATGTGGGGAATTTGAAGGACAGCTAATGACTGCCTTTTTCACTTTCTTTCCCAAATAATGTTCTGAAATATTTTTCATCTTTCCCAATAACAAGCTAACCATGTAATCTTGGGAATATTCCTCTCCATTGAAAGTAATCTGTTCTGGAGTTTCTGAATTTTCCTTCTTCATTCGTTCCTCATCTTCCAACATGAATTCCTTCAAATCGGAAACTACTTGGTCTGGAGCTAGTGATGCTCCTGGAAGTGGAGGAAATCCTACAATAATTTCCTCTCTTGTAGTTTCATGATCTGTTCCTTCCCCTTCAACAATTGTATTCACTGTAATCACGGAAGGTGTATGATGAGCACCATCTTCATTCTGTATAATAACCACATGACTGTTCATATTTTGAACAGGTTGAATCACCGTAGCAGCATAACATGGCTTATTCGGAGATAAAGTTAAAGCTGCTGATGAATTTAAATTTGGAAATGATGAAAGCAAATGTTGAACGTTAAAATACGAGACGGTGCAATTATGGTTACCAAAATCAATGCCAATAGCTCCATCAAACACACCGGTCGTAGATTCGGAAGATGATGCAGACGATGATGCAGAGGAAGAAGAGCCTTGTTCTGTGGACGGAGTTGATGATGATTTGGAAGAGGAAGCCTTTGATTTCTTTTTAGTCATTTTTTTTTGAAATTCAACTTTTTCGTGAAAGCTTGGAACATTAGGCTTGTCCTGTAAACGTTCAAACTTGGTTAAACTTTAAACAATAAACATGTTTAAACAAAAATAAACAACATAAACATGTTCAAACTAGTTCAAACGTTTAATCTCGTTCAAACGTTTAAACGTTCAAACGAAAATTAATTTCTAAAGAATTGAAATTTCTTCCTATTTGTCACCTTTTTCATTTTGCGTTTTGTAGGGAAAGAAAATTAGTTAGCTTTCATTCGGGATATCGAAGATTTTTGGATCCAAATCATCGAAATTATAAACCATCCTATTTGGTATCCATTTCATAATCGTGTAACAAGGTCTCTGGTATAATGAGGGGCAGAAAAAACTTCCCATCCAAACACACAACTAATTTCTCGGACCAAGGTGAATAGTAACCAAATTCGTATTTCAACATTCCAACAGCAGTCAAATAATCTTTGACATCACTGACCTGAGTTTCAATGTCAACAATTAATCGCATTCTTGAAAATTATTGATATGAATAGTTCTTAGACTTTAGGGGTTTAGTGAGGTAATGAAAGGCTGTGAATGAAATAATTGAGAGTGGTATACGAATCGGAATAATTATGGCTAAAGGGAAAGAATATCATTATTGTTTCAAGAAATGTATTATTGGGAGCGATGCTTCTTTGCGCATTAAACACATCATTGAGCAACGTGTCATAATTACTACGCCACCAGAAGTGTTAGTGGTAATGTTGTGGTGTGTTTTTCATTTTTTTAAATTAAATTATATTTATTTGTGATTCTCGTGTTTTCTGTTCACAAATGTTTAAACAGTTCAAACATGAACAAACATAATAAACTTTATAAACAAGTTCAAACAATTAAAAACTTGTTCAAACTTGTTTAAACATGACCAAAATAAACAATGCAAGTTTAAACGTTCACAGGACAAGCCTATTCGGTTGTGAAGACTGTTTTACTCAACGCACAACGATGTTAAACCATTCCATCAAAGTTCAATAATTCATTCTTTCAACAATGATGAAACTTTCGGAGAGCCAAGTGCAGCAAAGATTTAAAATTGGCATGGATTGAAGGCATTTACGAATGAAAGCTGTAAGCATGACATCGGTGCGTATGAGATGCGACAAGTTATCTGTTTTTTGGCCACATTTGGCAATTGTGAAAGTTACACTTCCTTTTCTGCCAAAGATTAAAATGATTGAAATCAAAGAATTTTGATATTTAACAGGAAATGTGTTGCTTCTTTCGAAATTGCAATAAACATATTGGACTGTTTTGAGCTGAAATATGGAAAATGAATGCTATTCAAAACCAAAAAACCTAAAATTGTTGTAAAATTCAGTAACTTTTGAGGTTTTTGAGGCCCTTGTTTCAACTCCAAAACATTGAAAATCCAACCTCCACAGCAACAACTATCAGAATTCAACAACAAAAAAAAACAACAGCACAAACAAAATGGATTTAAACCTTCCGTATTTAAAAGTATTAACTTGGAATGTTGGTAAAACAAACAATCCACAATCAGAGCAAGGAGTGATTCAAATGCAAGCCATAATGAATCAATTCAAAGAAACATATGACATTATATTCCTTCAAGAACTAGGTTCCAAGGCAGCGGTGGAGAGAACGGTGTCATATTTTGGTGAGGGTTGGGAAAAGTACTCTAGTAATATTAGGAATTCCTATCACAATTTGACCTTAGTTAAAAAGAAGCCAGGTGCCGCATTCGCATACGACACTACTGATATTTCCATTGCCTCCAATTTTAGAGTTGATCCTTTATGTATCAACGTTCATGGAAGAAAGAACGACTCAACTACAAACTTGAGTACTTTGAGTTCTTTGCTCTTGAAATTGCCTTTTTGGCAACCAGTAATTATTGCTGGAGATTTTAACTGCACTTTTTCTCCATATACTATTCCTATCGATACTGGTGTTAGTTTACTATGTGGTTTCGGTGAAACCAGGCAACCAACAACAACAGGAGGAAACTCGATTGATGAGATCCTTTATACTAATCACTTCATTGCAACTCAAACCATCGTTTTGAACCATCTACCTCCTGACGGCAATCACTATCCGGTCTCAAAGCATCTACAATTGAAATATCAACCATCGTCGATGCAAAATATTGTTGGTGCGTTATTTGGGAAACCAAGTATTGTTCAACCTAGTCAACCAGTAAGACATGTTGTTCCATCTAACAACCCAACTGTTCCAACAAGCCAACCAATTATTAGACCTTCTCTACATGAAGTTCCAACAAGCACACCAGTTACTGGACAAGTTGTTCAACCTGTAGTTCCGTCAGTGGTTGCATCTAGCCAATCAAGCACACAATCTAGTCTACCAGTAAGGCCTGTGGTTTCATCTAACAAACCAACTGTTCCAACAAGCCAACCAACTGTTAGACCTTCTTTACATGTAGTTCCAACAAGCACACCAGTTACTGGACAAATTGTTCAGCCTGTGGTTCCATCAGTGGTTCCACCAAGCCAGCCAATTACTAGACCTATTCTTCCACCTGTGGTTCCAACTAGACAACCAAATGTTGTTGTTCCGCCAGCTTCTCAACCAATTGTTCAACCTATCCAATCAAACACACAACCAAACACCAACGAACAATCATCAGACAAAGAAGAAAATGATTTAGTTGAGAGTTTACAAAACATTTCAATTAGCACTAAACCAGAACAAAGTGGCAACGAAACAAAAGAATGTCAAGGTGCGAAAATGGAGGTGAATAAGGAATTATTCAAATGATGGAAATGTAATTAAAACACAACATTAGGCATTAATAAATGGGAGTTTGGATTCAATGATAGTTAAGACAAGATTTCACCGTCGTCCGTTTATTGTGCCACCGCTTGTCAAACACAAAACAGAATTCAAGCAACATAATTTGTTCCATTTAATGAGAAGACCTTGCTGATTGGGACACAGCTTAAGATAGCGGTTTCAATTGTAAAGGGTTGGACTCTAGTTTCGTGTTGTGTAAATTGTTTGTTTTCAATGATCATTGATTATGGAGATGGTCTTTTTGCTGTTTGTTTTCTTAGGGCCGGAACAAGTCATCCTGATGTAAAGTGTCCTTGGGACAAATTCAATGCTGATGAAATAATGCTGGACCAATGCTTGCTGGATGGCATTGGAACAAGATCAAACAAAGTGTTGTCGAGTTCAAAACGGAAAGTTTGAAATCTCTTGCAGCTCCCCACCTTCATTATCTTCTACAAACATCCATCTCAAGGTTTCTCTTTTGGCTTCTTCCTTTGAACTATTTTGCGAATTTGTCTAATTTTGCAAACAATATGCTATAATAGATGACTGTTGTACTCTGGTGTAATCATGAAATAGTCTCCAATTTTCAATAATGGGCGTTGGTTGAGCAAATACAGAATTCTTCATTGATAAATTCAATTCTTCCACTAATTGTGACACCAGTGCTTGTGAATATATAGAGAAGGTTAGTTTTTGCTTATTAAATCGTCTTGTTTGTGAAATGTCGCACGATGGTCTTATGATAAAACAAAACCTTCTCCAAATTTTTTTCAATGGAAGCAGGGTATGACTTGAATCGATTTCCATGTAGAACCTGTAATATCCTAAAATTATTCTCAATATCAACAAGTATATAATTGGATTGTTTGTAAAATGTGTGATGTTGATAATTGTTTTGGAATATGTCATCTTAACGGCCGTAGTGATTCTTTTAGTTCATTCTGTACTAATCACGAAAGTGGATGTTTGATTATATCATTTCTTGGCTCAAAGAAGTAACGTCCATTGATAAACATCTCCTAAGAAAAAATCAACCAACAATTCGTCACGTGTTAATGTATACAATTCTTCGATTCTATAGGGATCATTATCCCTATATTTTTCACTTTGTTAGCTGTGTATAAAGTAAAATTGATTGCCTGATGAGTGTTCAACAGATTCACTGATGCTTTTTTGGCTGCCAAAGCATTTTGAATCTATCTATGATCTTCTTGAATCGGTCATAACTACTGTCTCCCGAGAGTGTTGTATTGAAAGATCGACATGTGGCTGATGATGGTTGGTGAGATGTATTGGCGTCATGATGTGTTGTTGCTTGAAAGCAAGTTCGTTGCTGTTGAAGGTTTTTCAAACAACATCTTCACCAAGTGACCCTGAGGAGAGGTGAGAAAAGATAATCACATACACCAATGTTGAAACATTTTTTTGAATTTATTCACAAATTTATTAAATCAACCTCGACTGCCTGGACTAAATTATGTCAGCCTTGCAAAGGTTATTCTTTAATTTCGATAACAAATTCCATCATGATTCGGCCATTCTTTGTGTCCTCACTTAACAAAGGGTCTCAAATTGTTCATCAGAAAGCATTTGGCCACACCATCAGGTCCCTCATTCAAGTACTCACTTCCTTGATCATCTCCCAGTGGCACGTCAGACCAACCTGCCAGACAAGCATTGTAAACATCAACCACATGATTGATGGGATGTCATTTTTTCGTCAAGTTGACAGGCTTCCATTCACAATAAAAACTCAATCCCGATCATTCTTTTTCACAAACAAAAAAACCTCAACAACTTCCCAACAACAAACACACACAAAATGTCTGAAGACGTTCAAGCACTCGTTGTCGATAACGGATCTGGTATGTGTAAGGCCGGTTTCGCTGGTGATGATGCACCAAGAGCTGTTTTCCCATCTATCATTGGTAGACCAAAGCAAAAGTCCATCATGGTTGGTATGGGTAACAAGGATGCCTACGTTGGTGATGAAGCTCAATCCAAGAGAGGTATTTTGACTTTGAAGTATCCAATTGAACACGGTATTGTTACCAATTGGGATGATATGGAAAAGATCTGGCATCACACCTTCTACAATGAATTGAGAGTTGCTCCAGAGGAACATCCAGTCTTGTTGACTGAAGCTCCATTGAATCCAAAGGCCAACAGAGAGAAGATGACTCAAATCATGTTCGAGACCTTCTCCGTTCCAGCCATGTATGTCGCTATTCAAGCTGTCTTGTCCTTGTATGCTTCTGGTCGTACTACTGGTATTGTCTTGGACTCTGGTGATGGTGTCTCTCACACTGTTCCAATCTATGAAGGTTATGCTTTGCCACACGCCATTTTGAGATTGGATTTGGCTGGTAGAGATTTGACTGATTACTTGATGAAGATTCTCATGGAACGTGGTTACTCATTCAACACCACTGCTGAGAGAGAAATTGTCAGAGATATCAAGGAAAAGCTCTGTTATATTGCTTTGGACTTTGAACAAGAAATGAAGGTTGCTGCTGAATCTTCCTCAGTTGAAAAGTCCTACGAATTGCCTGATGGTAACGTGATTACTGTTGGAAACGAACGATTCAGATGTCCAGAAGTGTTGTTCCAACCAAACTTCATTGGTATGGAAGCTGCTGGTGTTCATGAAACTACTTTCAACTCCATCGGAAAGTGTGATATTGATATCAGAAAGGACTTGTACGGAAACGTTGTCTTGTCTGGTGGTACTACCATGTTCGAAGGTATTGCTGAGAGAATGACCAAGGAATTGACCAACATGGCTCCTGCTTCCATGAAGATTAAGGTTGTTGCTCCACCAGAAAGAAAATACTCTGTCTGGATTGGTGGTTCCATCTTGGCTTCATTGTCCACCTTCCAACAAATGTGGATCACCAAGGAAGAATATGAGGATGCCGGTCCAGGTATTGTCCACAGAAAGTGCTTCTAAATTAACCTTGGATGCACATCAAGTTTAGATAAATTCGTGTATTTTTTGTAAAACTTGAAAATTGTTGTTCTTTCTTGATGTGAGCCTTAACTGTCCTTATGGGCGAGTGATCACTCGTTTTCAACAGCCAGACTTGATGCAATCTTTAAAAAAATATTTGAAACGATTTGTTGCAACGGAATGGAGTTGTGATCACTGCTATTCATTGGTATTCGTGAAAACTGTTCAGAAAATAATGAGAGATGACATAACACAACAAGTGGATACAAAAGAGATTGAAATAATGATCTGAAGATTTCATGCAAATTTATAATTATTTAATTCATAATTAATTCAAAATTCATCAAAATTAATTGAAAAGAACACAAGTTTATTGCAACATCAAAACAAACACTGTCATTATGATCAAAACAAAACAGCTTGTACCGTGTTTGATATCACTCATTCCGAGTGATCTTCTTGGTTGAGGCTTTTTGCTTTGGACTGGTTGAACCGAATTTGATGTTAATGGACTTGGTGATGGTGGATGTGGAGGTGGAGGTGGAAACAGCGATCCAGATGGTTGTGGAGGTGGATTTGGAGTTCCACATTTACCAACCAATTGTTTGTAACTGTTGGTATTTCTAATATAGTCCACTTGATATTGAGTCATTGCCATGAATTGCTTGCAAGTGAATATTCTTCCAAGATAATCATATTTGAGAAGCACGTCGAGTTGTTGATACGTAATTCCTTTCACTGAGTTTGGATTAATATATGCAACATTTCTTGAAATTCCATTTGGATTTTCAAATGCTGAAGGCATAATGTAAGAAATTTGTTCAGCTGTGAATCCACTCACAGTGTCACTTAAAAAATAATAGAATGATGAAACTTGGAGTTTTGAAAAAACATCTCTCGGTAACATGTTGACATTGTTGAGAAGACCATAGAATGTCTGAGCAAAAGTAATATCTGTCATGGTGTTTGCATTTAAAACATTCTTCAAGGAGTCATCTGTGGAAAGACTTAATTGCAACCATGTTGTTGAAGAGAGTTGATTGGATTCCAATGTTCTATATCTCTGAATTTCAGACTTTTCAATCTTTTCCTTGAATTGTAACACAACACCACTGTTCACTGTTGACAATTGTTTTTGAGTGGCCACTGAAACAAAATATTTCTCTCCATATGAATTGAGCCATGCCACAAGTTGATTCAATTGAAGACCTGAAAGGGTATCTGATGTAAAGTAAGGAATAGTCTCAACTTTAAATCCAGACACAGAGGAAGAGGGAATGTTTGAAAAGCATTGAGAGGTCAAAGAAGATACAATATTGAGAGGTGTCAATTCAGACAAGCATCCATATTGGAAACCACTACATCCAGAATTGCTTAATCGGTTAATTTGAAAAGAAGTGAATCCAGAGCATGTAGAATTATTCAGCATTGCAACTTGATCTTGTACGAGTCCATTGATTTGATTGTATGGAATATTTGTCAACTGAGATGCGCCAATTCCTTTCATACTTTGTGGAGGTATAATCGAAAGACAAGCCGAATTGAATCCGGAATAACTTGAATCTGAAATATTCGAAAGGCATGTTGCTGTGAGACCTTGACATGCAAAGTTTGGATATCCATTGTTTAAAGATGAAACTTGGGAACTTGTAATTCCAGTACATGAGGAAGGATTCCAATTTGAAACTTGTTGTGAGGTGAAGCCACCGAACGCATTTGGAGTGATCTGTTTCATTTGTGAAGCTGAAATTCCATTCACCTGAGATGGCACCAAATAATTAATGCAAGTACTTGTAAAGCCACTGTAAGAGCTTTCTGGAATGTTTGAAAGGCATTCAGATTTGAAACCTTGACACGCATAGTTTGGATAGCCATTGTTGAGATTGGAAAGTTGGGAGCTTGAAATACCAGAACATGAGGAAGGGTTCCAATTTGAAACTTGCTGTGATGTGAAACCACTGAACGCATTTGGTGTGATCTGTTTCAATTGAGAGGCTGAAATTCCATTCACCTGAGATGCCGCCAAATAATTAATGCAAGTACTTGTGAAGCCACTGTAAGAGCTATCTGAGATATTGGAAAGACACTCTGACTTGAAACCTTGACAGGCATAATTTGGATAACCATTGTTAAGATTGGAAATTTGAGTGCTTGAAATACCAGAACATGAGGTAGGGTTTAAATAGGAAATTTGATTTGAGGTGAAACCTGAATAGGCAGAGTTAGGAATTTGTGCCAATTGAGAGGCTAATAATCCACTCATCTGAACTGCATTGACTTGTGAAACACAAGTACTTGAAAACCCAGTGAAAGCGTTTGCTGGAATGTTTGAAAGACATTCTGATTTGAAACCTTGACACGCATATTTTGGATAAGAATTATCCAACTTGGTAGCTTGATTCGAGTTGAGCCCAGAGCATGTCTTTGGAGGAAACTTGGCAATTTGATTGGATGAGAACCCAGCAAAAGAAGAAGCAGGAATGTTTGAAATTTGTTCAGGTTGTGAAATCCCATTAATTTGTGAAACATCTAATTGATTCACACAAGCTGAAGTCATTCCAGCATATGCACTAGGTTGCATTGCTGACAAACATGATGCTTGTAAAGCGCTGCAAACAAAGACAGGATAATCATTGTTCATAGCACCGATTTGATTTTGACTGAAATTTGAACAAATATCAAAACTTGTCAATTTGACAACTTGATTTTGAGTCCATCCAGAGAATGAGGCAGCAGGAAAGTTGGCAATACTTGATCCAGAAATTTGGTTGACCATACTTGCATCCAAATTACCAACACAGGATGATGTCAAATCTGATAAACTTTCCAAAGGAATGGCATTAAAACATTGAGAAGTGAAACCAGAACAAGCAGATGTTGGATAGTCATTGTTGATGGCTGCTACTTGATTATAACTAAATCCAGCACAAGCACTCACATTCAAGGCAGCAATAGCACTGCTTGAAAGAGAAGCAATGACATTTGTACTCAATTTTCCAAACTTTTCAGCAGAATTGATTCCACTCAACTCTTGGTTTGGAATCTTACTAAAACATGATGATGTAAATCCAGTGAAAGCAGATGATAGCATGTTAGAGAAACATGCACTCTTGAATCCACTACATGCATAATCATTGACACTTGAAACTTGAGAATACTTGAATCCACTGCAAGCTGTTGGAGGAATGGAGGAAAGATCTGAAGAAGACATGGAATTGAAAGCACTGTTGGGAAGTTGTGAAAGTTGGTCAGCATTGAGAGTGGACCAATTCACATCAGACGCGGCAACAACAAGTGCTGCTGCATGACATGCGAGAGCAAGTAAGAAAAGCAAACCAATTCGAGTACCAACAATTTGAACAACATTCTTGTTGAAGACACCCTTGTTGAAGTATTTCATTTGTTTTTTTTCTTGATTGTCTTTGAAATTCCTCTGGAGCAGGCGCTTTATCAGTCGAGTATTGCGTGTTACGTGTAGTAATGAGAGGTGTTGTTGTGGAGATTGACTTTTCAGGCCCGGACAAACAGATAGATCAGGTTGTCATTTAGATTTTTTCGCTTCCACAAGGAATAAAGATGACACTAACCAGTCCAATTAGAAGTGGACTTGGTTTTGTTAACATGGTTAAAACAGCTTTAATCAACTCCGTCCTAACTTTGGAATGAGATGTGTTGGTAATGATTCGGTACTGGCCAGCTTGCTTCTAATTCTGACGAGGTTCAAAATGATGAAGCTTCTAAAAAATCAGAATAAACGTTCATAACTGTTGGTGAAACGACTCGTGGAATACAAGCGTCTGAAAAGACACGGATGTGGCTGCCACTGGTGACAATTCAAAGTGAGATGAACCTGGTTTTATGGTCACCAACTCTGAAATATTGAGGGTCAAAAATTGATTCGTGACACTACTCAACTCAGCTATTTCATCCAGAGCTTGTGTAAAACAGAGTTAACTAGATTGTTCAACGCTCTTAACAAAATTGAAGTAAATTTCTGGAACTGTTTGCCAATATTTTGATTGAAACCCACTTTCATTCAATGAATTCACTCTTTCCACGTTCAAAACACGATATTATTCAAGGATTTATTCTGATCTTCATTTTGTAAACCAGCGTACTTTCATTTTATTACAAAAATGTTACAAAAGTCAATCCACTCCATCCCAACAACTTCCACCAAATAAAATTGCCTCATTGAGGTAATTTAATTTCCCAGGATCGAAGGATTGGATCGGATTGCTCCAGCGTTTATTTTTGAACTTTCTGTCAGTCAATCCAATCCAATCCCAAAATCAGATCCATTTAAATTTCCTCATTGAAACACTTGTTCAACCAATAAAGATGCCTTGGAGAACAGTACTCTATTCATTGGACCTTAATTGTCTTGACGAGATTGCAGCGAGATGGAAAGTGTTGCTGAATGGAAGCTCCACAAGTTGATCATATCCCTCAAAAGATACATACAACGGCTCGTCCTTGTCATGCCATTATTGCACCATTTTCCGTTCATTACAAATCTCATTATGATGGTTGTAATGAGCGAGCATACTGGAGAATTTCCAAATATTTCATTTTCTCCTTCTTCTCTCTCTGTGGGAAGCTCACAACCAACACTCATCATCCATCGGACCATTCCAGCACCTCCAAGCTCTCTCGTGAGCAGAACAAGAGAATTCATTCGGAAGAACGAAGCAGGGAATTTTTCCAAATGCTTACCCACACTCCAAAAAGGATCATTGAGTGTTCGCGAAATTTTTTTTTAAAGAGAAAAAAAAAAGCGCGAGAGCATTCCTTTGGTGTTTGATTCCTTTGGCAAGCAGAAAGGTTTTTATTCACAAAAGACTTGGGGTCCGATACACCTGTATACTCGTCAACAACGACCACATTTTCCATCATTACTCATTATCCTCATTATATTGCAGCAATATTTAACAATGGCAGCCTCTTTATTGAAAGAGAAACAATTGAGTTTTTGGTCCACTCTCATGAATCAAAACCAAAGTTTGAAATTACCCACTGATTTTCCTAGAACCATGATGGATGAAAGTGGGACTGGTGGAGAATTGAACATTTCAAACACAATTTTACATTATGAACCATTGAAGCAAGTGATTTCCCTTGACGATGTGCTCTCCAGTCAATCATTTAAAGAACGATTTTTACAAGTGACAGATTCCGATGCTCAAAAATCATTCACACGAAATACTTTTGTATTGTCTGTGTTTGCATTACTTCTCGCTCGGTACACGTATGAAGAGACATTTTTGATTGGTATTTTACAAGACGAAAATACAGAACGTGACTCTTTCATTGTCTCTGCAAATATTCCAATGCCATCTGCTGAAGAAGATACATTTGAGGGAATTCCTCGGGACAAGTCCACTACTGTGTACAGTTTTAGAAAGTTATTGACCAATATTCAAGAAGCTTTTAGTGACTCTGTTGGAAATTTGTCACAATTCGGAAATGTTCAGAATATCCTTTCGGAGGTTGAACAAAAACAAGGAAAAGTAGATACTACTCTCCTTGTGCAAGTTTCTTTCAGTTCGTATGATGGACCTTATCATTTGGTCAATACTTGTGCTTCTCCTTTCCCAATTTCCAATGTTGATTTACATTTGCATTTGGATACTAAAACAAATCAAGTGAGCGTCTCGTATCAAACTAATTTATTCACAGAACTCAGAATGCAAGACATGTTGAATCAATTGAAATTGGCTGCTAAACAATTGGTTTCGGAACCAAATCAATCGATTTTTGATGTGTCACTTGTCACAGAATATGCCAAGACAGTCCTTCCACACCCAGATAAACCATTGAATAACGATTTCTATGGAGCCATTCATGAAGTCTTCCAAGAACAAGCAAAGAAAATTCCTCAACGAATTACTATGGTCGATAGCAAAGAATCTGTAACATATGAAACCTTAAACAAGCTTTCCAATCAATTGGCTCGTCAATTACTTGCCAATGGTTTGAAGAGACAAGAAGTGGTCACCATTTTCGGTCACAGAAGTTGTCCCGTAGTGCTTGCAATTTTATCAACCTTGAAATGTGCAGCAGTTTTTAACATGCTAGATCCTGCTTATCCAGCCGATAGAATTATTACATGCTTGGAAGTATCCTCTCCGTCAGCCGTCATTTTAATTGAGGCCTCTGGTCCACTTCCAAAAGAAGTCATCAAGTACATTCAAACAGAATCAACTGTTCGATTTGTTGTTTCCCTCAAATCCATCACAGAGAGTGTGTCTGAACAAATCTATGCTGAATATGCTGACACGGATTTAACCTCAGATCCTGAATGGCGTGATAAGGTACAAATTACTCAGGATGATTTTGCTGTGTGTACTTACACCAGTGGCAGTACAGGTATTCCAAAAGGAGTTTTAGGTCGTCATGGACCTTTGACTCACTACTATCCATGGATGAAACAACGATTTAATTTGAGTGAAAATGATGCCTTCAGTATGCAAAGTGGTATCAGTCACGATCCTCTCCAAAGAGATATTTTCACACCATGGTTCTTGGGTTGTACCATGTACATTCCAACGAATGAAGATATTGTCAATCCTGGTCGTCTTGCTGAATGGTTTGAAGAAAAGAAAATTACAGTGAGTTGTTTGACACCTGCTATGGGTCAATTACTGACCAGTGCTGCCAGTATTGCTACGACTAGCACTGGAGAACCTCTCAAATTGAATCATTTGAGATATGCATTCTTTGTTGGTGATGTACTTTCTAAAAAGTTTGTGAAACGTTTGTGTGACATTTCTCCAATTGTTCGAGTCATTAACTTGTATGGCTCAACAGAGACTCAACGCTCTGTGACGTACTATATGGTTCCAAGACCAGGTGAAAAATGTATGGAAACAGGAATTCCTTTCGAACGATTGAAAGATATCATTCCAATTGGTAGAGGAATGTTAGACGTTCAAGCATTGACTCTCTCCAGATTTACTTCTCGAGATAACAAGTTCATGTTGTGTGGAATTGGTGAAATGGGTGAAATTTATATGCGTAGTCCTCATCTCTCACAAGGTTATAAAGGAAAGGAAAAGGACACGAGAGAAAAATTCATTCCAAATCCTTTCCTCACCACTGGATATATTGATCGAATGTATAGAACAGGTGACTTGGGACGATATCTCATTAGTGGAGACGCTGAATGCAGTGGAAGAGCCGATGATCAAATTAAAATCAGAGGTTTCAGAATTGAATTGGGAGAGATTAACACTGCTCTGAATAGTCATGAATTGGTCAAGGAAAGTGTCACCATTGTAAGAGAAGATTGTGTTCCTGGAACCAATGAAAAACGTATTGTCACATATTTTGTGTTGGACAAGGTCGAGATTGAAAAGAGCACCATTTACGGAAATTACTTTACCATGGAAAGTGGTTTGAGATTGAGTATCATCAAGACCATCATTAAGGATTTGAGACAATATTTGAGAAGCAAACTTCCAGATTACATGATTCCATCCTACTTTGTTCCATTAGATAAAATTCCATTAACACCCAATGGAAAGATTAAGAGACAAGATTTACCAAGACCTGAAATCAGTACCTCTTCATCTCTCGCTGATGAGAGACAAGACGAAGAAACCTATGTTGCTCCAAGAAATGAACTCGAACAACAATTAGTGACCATTTGGGGAGAGATTTTACAAGGAAGTTCTGGACAAGGAATTGGTATTCATGACAATTTCTTTGATCTCGGTGGTCACTCGATCAATGCCACAACTCTCACTTTGAAAATTAGACAACAAGTGGAAGGAGCTTCTACCTTACCAGTCGAATTGTTATTTAAGGCACCCACTGTGAGTGCTCTTGCTGTAGCTATTGAACAATTAAGAAGTGGAAAAGGAGTGAGTAAGACCCACGTGACCGATGTTTCTTCAGATTGTCACTTGGAGGCCTCTACTCGTCCTCACCATCAACTCAATTTCAATGATTTTATTTCCTTATCTAAAACTTGGCAAAATCCAAAAGATATTCTCATTACTGGATGTACTGGATTTTTGGGAACCTTCTTATTGGCTGATTTCTTAAAGAAGACCAGTGCAAGAATTTATTGTCTTGTAAGAGCTGACAATGAAGAAAAAGCTCGTAAAAGAATTTTGGAAAGTTTATTGAGTTATCACTTTTTATGGACTTCCAAAGAAATGGATCAACAAGAGGAACGTGAAAGCATGAATTTTGTGAACAAGACCAATTTAGCAGAAATTGTCGAAGGACGTATCATTCCAGTTTTGGGAGATTTAACTAAACCTTATTTAGGTTTAACTCCTGTCAAATTCGAAGAATTGAGTGACACCATCGATGTCATTATTCACAACGGAGCTGCTGTTCACTGGCTCTACAGTTATGAAAAATTGAAAGCTCCCAACGTGAATGGAACCCGTGAGATTCTCAAAATGGCATGCAGTGGTAAAAAGTTAACTCCCGTGCACTATGTCAGTACCACTTCTGTGTTCGATTCTGAACAATATAAGGAATTTACGGATGTCTATGAAGATTCCACATTGCCTTATCATGAAGATTTAACAGGATATCCTCAATCGAAATATGTTGCTGAAAAGTTATGTATGAATGCAAGAATGAGAGGACTGCCAGTGTGTATTTATCGACCTGGATATATTACTGGACACAGTAAGACTGGTGTGTGGAATCCAGATGATTTCCTATGTCGAATGATTAAGGGATGTATTCAAATGGGATATTATCCAGACATGCCATCGAGCAAATTGGACATGTCACCTGTCGATTTTATTTCTGGAGCCATTGTGTACTTGTCGAGAACGATGGATAGTGTGGTGAAACATCAGGCTTATCACTTGGTCAATCCTCATGAATTCTTCTTTAATTCATTATTTGAAACTGGAAAGAAATTGGGATACAACATTCAACCATTACCATTTAAGGAATGGAAAGAAAAACTTTATCAAGAAACTGTTGAAAAGAAGGAATTAAGTACTGGCGAAGAAGAAAATGTCTTGTATCCATTGGTGACCTACTTTACAGATGATTATGATCTTAAAATGACAGCCAAACGTCCATGGTATGACAATACACATACTTTGGAAGGACTCGAGAATTCAGGTGTCACTTGTCCAAAGGTGATTGAGCTCATGACAACGTATTATCACTTTTTGTGCAAATGTGGATTTTTGGTGCCACCTGTGGAGCCTACAGAATTGGCCAAGAAATTTGGATTCCACAAAATTCCAGCCAATATTCAAAGAAATCCTAAAGCCTCCATTTCGTCATTGGATCTTTCCATCATTCACTCGGATGTGAATTCGACATTCAATGAATCACCTTCACCAACCTCATTCAATTATCAAAGTTTGATGAGAAACAATAGACTTCAATAAAGCGCACTCAATGAGAGTGTTGGTCTTGAATCACACAATCAATGCCATCAAGTGATATAAGTATTAAGGCAATGAGGCGAAACTTGGCCCGTTGAAATGTGACAGAATACCTTTTGGTGTTTGGGTGACCCTAATATTCAACGTACGATCTGTAAAACTCTTAATAATAATAATTTATTGAAATAGAATCGTGGTGTGAAAATAATTATGAACTATGATACAATTTAGCGAAAGAAAATTATTACTGTCGAGTTTTACAACTAGTGAAAAGATTCATTTACAACAAGTTGCAACCCTTCTTTCCACTCGATGGTTTCTTTTGAGGACCAGTATTGCTTGGCTTGGACTTTCTCACTTCACGAACCAATGCCATGAAAGCCTCATCGACATTCAATCTTTGTTTGGCAGAAGTCTCCAAGGATGGAATACCCAATTGCTTGGCAAATTGTTTACCTTCGTCGGCGTTGATGACTCTTTCTGATTCCAAATCACACTATTGGATATGGCAACAATAAATTTCAATGAATCGTCGGGAGAAGAAATGTAATTTTACAGAAATGTGATGATTGTTGGTATCGGGTGTTCAGAGAACATTCAAATAACAAAATATTCATCATCATCATCATAAGAAATAAATAATTATTCAGATGAACAAAATGAAACACACGTTAAATGTGTACAACATACCTTATTACCCACCAACACCATGGGTACCTTCTCAGCATCCTTCACTCTCAAAATTTGTTCATAGAAGTCATTAATTTCCTCAAAAGTTTTTCTATCAATCACGGAATAAACCAACAAGAAACCATCACCAGTTCTCATGTATTGATCTCTCAAGGCTTTGTATTCCTCTTGTCCGGCAGTATCAAGAATTTCCAAGAAACATGGTTTATCATCCACTTTGGCGTGCTTTCTATAGGAATCTTCAATGGTTGGGTCGTATTCTTCAACAAAGATGTTTTGAATGAATTGGACTGTGAGGGCACTTTTACCGACACCACCTCCACCGACTGTTGTTACGAGTTTTCATTTCAATAACAAAATATATTTTTTTGTAAATAATAAACCCATGAGAGAAGGATGGAATTCATTGTTGTTATCATACGATGATGAATGTCATGGAGAAGAAAAACACGGAGAAGTTTGGAAGGTTGTTGTTGTCGAGAGAGGAGTGCGGAAAATAGCGCACGCATGCACGTTGTTGTTGTTGTTGTTGGTGTAACAACACGACGATGAAGAAAGTAAATCATTGTCATCATCACCATGAGACAACAAACACGTGTGAATAATTGGTAAGTTATTGTTGTTGTTGATAAATATGTATGATGGCAATAACGTGTTGTTGATGTGTTGTTGTTGTTGTTCAACAAATGAATTCGCAATATTTGGTTACATTGTTTTGAAGAGCATGGTAAAATACGTTAAAACACAGAAGACATCATCATAAAACGTTTACATACCAACGGCGAGTTTATATTCTTCCATACCAGAGTTATTGGCAGCTGACATTTTTGACGTGGGTTGTGAGAGCGTAAATTTTTTTTGACGTGATGAATGTATGTTACAACTGTCGCTTAAAATGTACACCTGATGACGTTATTTGCTTGGCTCGAGTTCTGAGTTCTTATTGAAGAGATTATCAAGCGATGAAATTGAAAAAGAAAAGCACAACCTCGAATGGTGCACACAACACAAGAACCAGTAACTTGATTTCGTGTTTGTTCTTTGAATCAAGTTCTGTATGCGTTGGAGAGAACTCTCTCTGGTGGGATAGATTGGTCACGAGATTGTCTTTAAAGGTAACGGTAATGACGATCATGTTGAATGATGGTGAATATTTCAAAAATGTTTGCTGAGTTTGCTTTGATCTTTACTGAATGGTCAGATAAATGCACATAAATTACCAATTTAATGTTATTAAGGAATTCATTAACTTTGTTTAAAGCAATTCAATGACGACAGAGCTAGCACCACCACCTCCATTACAAATGGCAGCACAACCCACTTGTTGTTTTCGGTGTTTCAAAGCACTAATAAGAGTACAGAGAATTCTGGCACCACTACAACCAATTGGGTGTCCCAAGGCAACAGCTCCTCCGAAAATGTTGACAGTATTGACATCCAAGCCCAAAAGTTTCATATTGACCAAAGCAACAGCACTGAATGCTTCATTAATTTCCCACAAATTCACATCACTTTGCAAAACTCCAGCATGCTTCAAAGCGACTGGAATGGCCGAGGATGGTGCAGTTGTGAAATCAATAGGAGCCTTTTCCGCATCTCCATATCCCAAAATTCTTGCAATTGGTCTTATACCTGCTTTCTTGGCTTTTTCTTCACTCATCAAGATCAAAGCAGCACCACCGTCTGACAGTTTTGAGCTATTGGCAGCTGTGACTGTACCATTTTCCTTAACAAATGCTGGTTTCAATTGTGGGACCTTTTCCAAATTAATATTTGAAAACTCCTCATCGAGTTGAATGTATTGAGTTTGCTCACCCTTCTTCTTTGAAGGCAATGCAATGGAGAATAATTCTCCGGACATGTATCCCTTTTCATTGGCTTCAGTAGCTCTTTTGTAGGATTCAATGGCATAGGCATCTTGTTCTTCACGTGTAATTCCATATAATTTGGCTGTTTGCTCGGCACACCAACCCATATGCTCTCCATTATAGGCATCAGTTAAACCATCCTTGAGAATGGAGTCAACCAATTTACCATCACCCAATCGATAGCCTGATCGGCCTTGAGGAATATAATATGGAGCATTGGACATGGATTCAAAACCACCAGCAACCACACAATTATGAATGCCCAATTCAATGTTTTGCGATCCGTACATGACTGCTTTCATTCCCGATGCACACATCTTATTCACGGTTGTACAAATAACACTATCAGGAAGTCCAGCATGAATACTTGCTTGACGAGCTGGTGCCTGACCCAAATTTGCTGAGACTACATTACCCATGATGACTTCTTGCACTTCGGAAAGAGCAACTCCAGCTTTTTGAGTTGCGGAACGAATGGCCAATGATCCCAATTTAGGAGCATCAAAACCTGAGAGTTTTCCAAGGAAGGAGCCAATAGGTGTTCTTTGAGCTGCAACAATAACAGCACGAGTCTTGTGAGTCATGATGAGACAACGATGAGAGAATTTTTTTCGCTTTTTTTTCTTTTGTGAGAAAATTAGCGAATTGTAAACTACAGATCCTGAAGTATGGGTTATTTCTACTCGAATACTGTTTAACATGTGGAATTGGAGCAAATAAAGTCATAAACCAACACGGATTCAATCAGCTTTAAGAAAATATTATGCGTCCATTGCTGGTCAATCAAATTGTTGTTCGATCGGAATTTTGCAGCAACAAATTGATTGTAAATTTTTATTATTTTTAAAATTTACTTCAAAAAAAATACCCCAACAAACAAAACACATAATGCCACAAAAGAGTAGATTCACTGGTTCTTCAAGAAGATCCTCCTCTTCCTCTCATTCTTCATCTTCTCATCAAGCACCACCAACACAACAACAAACTAGAAATTATTCTACATCCACCCAACAACCACAACAAGCTAGACCACAACAACAAACCACTCCTCCACCACAACATCAACAAACTCCTGTTCAAAGCGGAGGTCCTGGTATCATGGGAAATATTGTTTCCACGGTAGCTGGTACCATGATCGGTCATGCTATCTATGATTCAGTTTCTAATGCTTTTGGATCCAAGGACAGTAATGGAGAACAACAACAATACTCTCCACAGGAAATGCAAAAGTGCTTCTCACAAATGCAATCATTCTCTCAATGTTTGGAGCAAAATCCATACTCTATTGGATCTTGTCAATATGCTTTTGATAGTTTGAATGAATGTAAGAGAGGATTGACTCCAATGCCACAACAACCACAACAAACCAATCAAAATAGCGAATGGTAATTTTGTACAAGCAATTTGAATGAATAGCACTATTGTTGCACATTTTGATTGAACGAGTAATAAAATTGAGTGGTATAGTTTTTTAACTTGGTGTGGATTTATTATGAATCATGGTTGAACACTTTGATTATGATATGGACATCTGGGTGTAGTTCTTTAAGACACTCTCGGTCAACGTCACCACTGTTAGCTCGAGTGTTATTGTAAAAAAAGGATACAGGTCTGTTAACATCAAATATATTTTGTTTCATAATTACCTTGTCAAAGCTAATACGTCAAGATCCTAAGGATAATAGGTAAAATTCATTAAATTAAGAAAACGCAACTGTGTTTGAATTGAAAAATAAAAAAATAACCAAACATCAACATACACAATCATACAAAACACACTCAGTGGAGTGTTCCTTAGACTGGTGGTCGTATTGACATGGAAGCGAAAGGATGAGAGGATGTAGAAGGATCTATGTTTTTGAAAATTTCGTCTGTGAAATAACCAAATCCAAGTTCATAGAAACGGAAACTTCAAACTTGCGTTGATTCGTAAATAGAAGAAGATGACATGCTGACAACAACACCCTTAAACAATGCTGTCACAAGCAAGTTCTGGCCACACTTTAATCAAAACAAGTGACTTGTGACAATATCGACCAAAAAGTTGTTGCATTCAACATGAAAATTTCAAACATTCTAAAATTTGATCTTCACTGTTGGTGACTTGTTGAACTCTTCACATCAGTATCTTTTACCTAGACGGAATGTTGATTTTCTTCCTTTGAGTTAATTTTCGAATTTGTGTAATTTTACAACCAATATGCACTAAGAGATCGAATGTAATCATGAAAATCGTCTCCTATTTTCAATATTGGACAATCGATTGGTTGAGCTAATTTTGAGACCTCAGTAGGTAGATTCATTTCCGAATTCAGCAACGCAATTTTTAAATTGTATACAATATCATGGTGTTAAACGATGGAGCCACATATACTTGTATAACTTTTCCTTGATGTCGTTTATCCACTCATGTGTATTATTCGAGGAGTATGTTGAAATTTGGAGTTAGAATACAATCAGAAAGAGAGTTCAACAAAAACATCAAGAAGATGCTACCAAGAACGTTAACTCATTTCTTCAGAAGTCGATGAATGGTAGACTACTAGGTAATGGACGATATCATCTACACTCAGGACCTCAGGACGACTATCGAGGTACCACTATTCCAACCAACACCAATAAGCCTCCTTCAAAGAAGAAGCCATAGTGGAAATCCAGGCAGTAACTTCCAACAGTCTTCTGGAAGCAATCTCTCATGAAAAAAAGAAGTTGTTTGGAGGACGTCTTCAATGATTTGCAGACCACTGGAAGCAATGGGGTGCTTCTCAATTCGTCCTCACTATGGTGATACATGGAGTGACCATCAGTTCGAACCCCATGTTCTGGAAACACAATCATCAGAGACAATTAACACTAGAAGAGACAATTTGGAAGGGAGGCAGAGAAAGTCGAAAATCGAATTGGAATGATTTAGGGCCAATTAATTTCTCCAAGATATTCAAGGACATGATCATCGTTTGGAGAAGAAACGGAATGATGGTTTACGTTTACATAGGCCATAGGTTAATACTAGCTTTCTCTTGAAGAACTTTGGGATCACATTATGACCTTAATACTCGATCAAATGTTCCTGGAGGTTAAAATGCATCCTCATGCCCACTCAAACAATGGAATTCCTTGGTACAAATCTCGATTTTGTTTCAGGCCGTATGTAAATCTCAACCAAGAAAGAAGAAGAAGATACGGTTTGTCTGCGTAAAGCATCGACCTT